CACCACACCACACCACACCACACCACACCACACCACACCACACCACACCACACTACATCAGATCACGGATTTTTATAATAACCATTTTCTTTTCGATTCTAGCTCGTGTTCTTCCACTGATTCTAATAGAGTGTGGTATTCCAAAGATCCTTAAACACTTGACTTACTTGGATCACACAAGTGAAGATGTGCAGCCTTACTTCAAAGAACAGCTAATTGATAGTCTGGATAATGCAAAAAAGTGGACTTCACCAGGTAAAAAACATATACAGCATTGACTGACACTAATAGATGAACAGAGATACGCTTTCCATCCATACAGTCTATCCCTCTTCTATTACCTCGTCCATCCGTCCATCCATCCAATGCCCATGCATGAAATGAGATTCGTTATGATGTTGTAATCGGTCCCTTTTAGTTTGGGCTTAATGATTTCTCATCATGGGCTTAAGGTTTTTTTTCCATTTCAGACCACGTGTCATTGATTCTTTGTTTGAGTTGTACCCATATCCATGTCTTCTCATGCACAGCTGTTAAACAAAAAAATGATGCTCTAGGGAATGACATGTGGTCTGAAATTGAAAAACGTAACGCCCAAGCTAAAAGGGTCTATTTCTTAATCATCCAAAACAGATCGCCATGGAAGTGACATAGTTCCCATTTCAGAAGTCCAGCAAGTCGTAACGAGGTCTCTGGACCAAGACAAGAGACGTGAAACTGCTATAAACAAGCTGATGGGAGCTTTCTCTTCCTTCCAGCTTTTAAAACGCCGAATTTTGGTTTGCATTGCGTGTCCTTGCATAATGTTTTTGGTTGCTTTTTTAATGCTTATTGCTTTGTACATCTATTTTATGGTAGATCAAAAGTTTGTAATAACCCCTCTAGAACCAACTTCAGTTAATTCTACTGCCACAAATGTTTTTGTCGCTTTCCAAATCAAAAATTCCGTGGCCAAGCAGTGTGAGGTATTGCGAATGACGAACAAGTACTCAGGGAATCCTTTTTTGGTTGATACTTTTGGCTTCGAAGATCTGGGAAAAAAAGTTCTTTATGATAAAGAAAAAATCACTCACTTTGTGACATCTTTGTCTCCGAAGAAGATGTTTAAGCAGAAAAGGTTTCGTATTCATGGAGACATGTCAGTGACAACCAAGTTTTGCTTTCGCTCCAACCAAAATGCCTCATTACGACTCTACAAGCCCACGAGTACTCATGATGTGAATCAGTTTGACAAAACGATTGATGCACGAGTGAAGTATGAGGACTATACATCGATTGGAAATGAAACGTTTTGCGGCACTTCTGTAATCAAAGGCCAAAGCCTCACTTCCAACGAGTTTAGCGCCTTTGTATTCAAAAACGTTGCTAATACAATGATATTTCTTAATTTAACAACTATTTTCAAAACACCAAATTGCAAAAAATCTTTGGCTGTCCTGACGTGTCGTAATGTCTCGGAATGTCAGCTTCCATCGTCTCCTAGAATCAGCTACATTATTGTCTCAAAAAACATCAGTGCCCGTTCCTATTTTGGAGCTGACGAGATCGAAGTCAAATGTGTTTATAAAATTCCCGTGTTATCGAATTCTATCGCAAGTGTAGGGATTTTTTTAATGGGAATCCTCTTCCTGTGTTTGATTATTATGGGTTTCAACAAAAAATGTAGGCCTCGTTTGCAAAAATGGTATTTTGGGAGGAACATAGTTCGAGAGAAGCTTGGAGAGACCGCTGTACAAATGATTGTAGATAGTCCCGATCTTGAAGAACTTTCCAAAACTATTAAACAAGAAAGAGAGAATAAAGAATTTACAATCTAGAGTATGAGAACCGTGTGAGCAGGTTAACCGAACATTTTCTTGTGATTTAATTTAATTTGTTAAACGTTAGTGAATAAAAGAATGGAAAGGACTTAAAGATGTAGTGTACATGTGTATTTGAGTCTGACAAAGTTACTCTGAGTCTGAGAGGTTTTTGAATTAAAAAATGAATAAATTGGCTGGCATGTAGTCCTTTTGCAGATTAATATTATAATTCCAAACTTACAATAATCAAAAATCACAAATAAGTAGTAAGTTAGAAATATTTTAAATTTGGAAAATCTTGAATGGAATGTAGGACTGTACTGCACTGGACTGGATCCTGGATCGCAAAAAAAAAATCTTCGAATTTTCAGCTTTTTAAAAGGTATGTATAATCTTAATGAACAGCTGAAAACAAGTTCAATCTCTAAAATTTAATTTATTCTCTTCAATTCGGAATTTTGAGAGTCCTTTTTTTATTTTGAAAAAACTGGAACCGAGTCGCGGTGGACTGGACTGGACTGGACTGGACTTTAATTAACTGGGTCTTCGGATCACAAAGACATTTTTACGCCGAATTTGCACCTTTTATGCTATAACTGTTGTTCTAGTATTTATAACTAGTTATTTTATGTCGATATTTTGCACGTGCCCCCAAAAATTTTTGAAGAAAAAAATTTTTGAAAAAAGAATAACAAAAAAAAAAAAACATATTAAACCGAAACAAAAGAGGAAAATAAATTATTACAACCTACAAAAGTGCGAATTTATACGAAGTTATCCGGACGGGCTACCTGTGCACTGCGAACCCGGTCAGAGCCTGGAATCTGCACGTGGGAATTTGAAATTTTTTTTTATTTTGGAACAGTGCCCCCCCAGCTCCTAGGTCCTCGCTACGCCCCTGTACCCTTGTATCCTTCTCTTGGTTATTGGGGACCGAAATTTGACGCCATATATAACCATGGTCCCCTTGTATCTCTAATATCCCTTTAACGTTTTTGAATCGCTGGAGAAGCTAAGTAACGGTTAGCATTAGAATGCAGCTGTTTTATGTTTTTGTAACCATGACAATTGGTGTAATTTGAGGGTGTGAATGAAATATAAAGTTATATACAGAGGCAGCTCGCCTGTATCGAAGATTATTTTCAAGGCTACTGAGCATTCCGAAGTTGAGAGGAAAACTGAGTCGAATTAGCAGTGCATTGCATTTCGGGACTGTTTAAAGGACTAAAAAGAAGCAATCTTGGAAAAGTCAAACGCCCTCTAAGACCCCGTCCACACGTATCCGCGAATTTTTGTATCCGCAAATTTTTTTTTCGGATACGAAAATGTTTGCGTCCACACGCAGCGTATTCGAATCGTTTTCACCGTCCACACGTGTCCGTTTTCGTAGAATTTGCGGATACGTTCACGAAAATTTGCGGACACGTGCCGTGGACGCAACCCGTATCCGTAAAAAAAAAATTTGCGGATACGTGTGGACGGGACCTAAAACAGTCCAGTTTTACCCTCACCCTTGTAATTACTTATAGCTCACAAAATTATTTTTCATCATTCAAGTAATTGAAGGATAGTCAGTCACGTGGCGCCCTACAACAAATTCTTAATTTCAAACGGATCTTCTATTATTTAGTTCTTTATTTTTCGCACTTAATTCGTATTTACAAATTTGCTAGTCATAGATCACGGGGTTCAGCTCGCTTATTGTATTTGCTTAACATTATAGATTAGTTATCTCTTAAATATTGCAAACGAGAAAAAATGATGTGCGCAATGCGTCTTGAAATATCCCAAGAAAATAGGTCCTATTTTAATCACTTTCGCTCGAAGAATCTTCTGCGCTTCGCCACTCGTTTAGGAATCTAGCAATTTCTTCTTTTTCAGAGTCAGAAAGCATTGGCAGAGACAGCGCGAACTCGAGAACTGCAAGGTGACAGAACTCATACTGATCGGGTGTTTGTATCATGTGGGCTCGCTGGTTCCTCAAATATTTGACGGTGTTGGAGATTTCACATGTTCCTTGTTTTTTCATCCTTTCTATGTTAATGTCTATAGTGCAAAAGGTCCCGGTACGCCCGACACCTGCGCTGCAATGGACCACCATTGGTGGGCCTGAGGGATGCCCTGTCCAACTGGACCATAGGGCCAACACGGCCGAGGCCTGAGCTTGTCGTACCAGGCCTAGGATATGTAAGCATGACTCGGCTGAAGATGGCACACCGAAGTCTGGCCACGAAGTCATTTGAAAATGCATTATTGTACGACTTGTTTGGGTCTGGAAAAGAGATATGTTATCTTTAATCATCAACATTATCAACTGAAACCATGGAGTGTCTTTTCATCCATCCCTCCCTCCCTCAGTCCATCCAACGCTACTCTTCACCTAGCCCTCACTATACCTCCCTCCCTTCTATAAATCCATGTATCCTCATCACCGCCATCATCGTCTCTCCATCGTCTCTTCATCCATGTATCATCACCACCATCATTGTCTCTCCATCCATGTATCATCATCACAACCATTATCGTCTTTCCATCAATGTATCATCATCACAACCATTATCGTCTCTCCATCCATATATCATCATCACCACCATCATCGTCTCTCCATCCTTGTATCATTATCACCACCATCATCGTCTCTCCATCCATGTATCATTATCACAACCATCATCGTCTCTCCAT